AACTACTAAAGTCTTCAAGGTTTTAATAAAAGGACTGATCCTTGGGGAAACAGCAAGAGTTCACAGGCAGAAGAGAAGTGGGTGGAGAGCCAAGGAAGGGTGTTTCAGATGGGAGCATTTCAAGGAGAGAGCAGTGAGCAAGCACAGCTGCCTTTTCTTCATTCTGTATTCCCTCAATGAGAGACCTCATTTTCATCCATTACCTTGGCTATCATCTACTCATATGCAAATGAGTCACATGCCCATATTACCTGGCTTTTCACCTTAGTTTTCCCTAAGCTACACACTCAGATTTCCAACTGTCTACCCTTATTTTCACCAAGGCCATCTCAAATTCAGCATGTTCAGAATCAAACGCTGCCTCATATAATGTAGTCTTCTTCCAGTCTTCCTTATCTCTGAAAATAGCATCCCGCTGCACAAACCAGAAAACTTTGAATAATCCATAACTTGTCTCTTATACCTCAACCCCAACCAATCCTCATTCAAGTCATTCTTAGCTTTCTTAACATCTCTGGCTATTACAATCTTAGCCTAAGATACCACCACCTTCCATCTTGTACATGCAACTACCTCCCATTTGGACTTTACATATAATCTTGCTCTCCTCCATGTAGACAAGATGATCATTTCAAATGCAAACATGACTATATAACAAACACCCAATTCTGTTTAAAATGCTTGCTTTCTTAGCTCTTGGGGTTAAGATCAAATTCCTTGCCTTGGCCTACTTGACCTGCATGATTTGGTCCCTGCCTACTTCTTAGTCTCATTACTACCATCTGTATTTTGTTTTTTTGCTCTTTCAATTTCTTGAATCTTCTAAGCTTCTACTCACATAGACCTCTGCATATGCTTTTCCCCTTTACCTAGGAAATGCCTTTCACTCCCATCTCTACCCTCTACATCCTTTTGCCTACTTATCTTTCAGTTCTTGGTTTAGTGATACTGTGCCAAATCTCCCTATTATTAGAAGTTCTTGTTGAATTCTTGCCTCTCCTTAGCACTGACTAATCACAGTTGTAATTTTACAATACTTTGTGATTGTTTGATCAATGTCAATTTCTCCTGACAAGAAGCTTCATAAGGGCAGAGATTATGTCTTTTTTTTTAATTATCAAATCATCAAGACACACCACTGTATCCAACATGGTTCTTAATATTTGTTGAATCAATTATTACATACTTTTAAAATATATATATTTGTAGTTGGATACAATACCTTTATTTATTTTTGTGTGGTGCTGAGGATTGAACCCAGCGCCTCACACATGCTAGTAAGTACTCTACCACTGAACCACAACCCCAGCCCTACATACTCTTTTAAAAGTAAAAAAAAAAAAAAAAAAAATAGGACTGACTAATAAGACAATTGAGTTGACTATTAAGAATGCTGATGACCTTTGAATGTACACTTTTAATCTACTGATAAGGTAGAATTCAGAATGAGGGACTTAAGGAACAATGGCAATAGGGAAGAGAAGATGGACAAGAAGGGTAACAGGAGACAGCACCAGTTATCAAGGGAAAGTTGTTTATTTTTATTTTGTTATTCTTTACATCATTACTGGTGTTCCCCAGTTCAAGGAAGACTTAAAGAGGAAAGAATTTAAAATGTTAGATACAGGATATAATTAGTGAAACAAGATAACTAACATTGAAGGAGTTTAAAAATGTCAACAAAGTGTGAGGTAAGAAAAGCTGTCATAAAGGAGTGGTCAATTTAAGCACACAACTAGTTGAAATATTTGAAACCATAAAGATGCTGATGGGTTAATAAATCAATTATACCTGATGGGCAAGGCACATAAAAGAGAGCTGTGTTATACATCAAAAGGTAAGGAAATCATGTTAAACTATGCCACTTAGATGTAATCAGCAAAATATAGATATGGGAAACTTCATAGAAGCAACAACTTGATCCTTTAACAAATTGCAAGGGAGATAAAAGTGAACATAATAAAACATTATGTTCCCCATCCACTGAATCCTGAATTGCAAAAATTGAACTTGAGAACCTGAACTGCTTATTTGTATAAGATGGAAAATATTTAATTTATAGAATTAAAAAAAACTTAAAAGACTAACAACAATCACAAAACCACAATGTGTGAATTTGACTGGATCCTAGTTCAAGGAAGCAAATTATAAGAGAGAAAGAAGTAGAAAATTAAACAGTGCATACTTGATATTAAGTAAATACACTAAATACTTTAGGTGTGATTATAGTATTACAGTTATGCTTTGTTATACTGAAATAAATTTTGGGTGGCTGATATTTGCTTCAGAACAACAAGTATACACATAACATGGAAGCAATAAATTACGAATTAACATTACTAGAGCTGGTAGGGAGTTCATTGGGCTTCACTATAAAATGCTTGAAACTTTCCTTGATAACTTTTTTAAAAAGACGAGATTTGGTTTCCAAGCACAGGATTTTCTTTCATATACTACATTTTAGATCACCTTGATTAATGCTTCCTGGTCTGAGTCTAGTGAACTTCATAAAACCGTGGTGATCATATCTAGGTAAATTTAAGTGATGCACCAAAAAAACAGGGTTGGATATAACACAAGATACACTTAAAATTTGAAATATAACAGGAGTAGATCTTTCAAAGTATTATTAAAAGAGTTTCAAGGTCAAAAATTAATATATATGATAACAAGAAACTTAAGAGGGGCAGGTCAGGGTAAGGAGTATGTTCAAAGCAATGGGTAAAAAAATGATTTTATCTACTCCCTGTTTCTAAGACACATTCACTGGAGATTCCCTGCCAAGGAAAAAGTCACTCAGGTATAAAATGACCAAACCTGAGCAAAGAAAAGAATGAGATTTTGCAAAATGGAGTAAGGTCACTCAAATCTCCACAACCTACTTCTGTTATCTTTTCTGTTTCGTTCATTCTATTTCCTTCCTCCAAATTCCAAATGTGCTTTAGAAGTTAGTGCAAGGCCGAGACAAAGCCGGGAGACTAAGAGGTAATAGAAAGTGTTTGGATAAAAGGAATAAAACATTATGTTCCCCATCCACTGAATCCTGAATTGCAAAAATTGAACTTGAGAACCTGAACTGCTTGTTTGTATAAGATGGAAAATACAACCATCAGGATTTGAAAGACAAGTTTAGATTGGCTGCACGGCAGTGACTAAAATATTTAACTATAGGGAATTCTTTCTTAACCAGATCTCATCCTCAGCAATCCTCAAAGCACCAGCCTTTTACTTGCTGGTACATATACAAAAGAAAAAAAATTAAAACGTCGGATATTTAAAATATATTTTGGGGCAGGGGAGTAAGACCATGTGAAGTGTATAGAAAAAAAAAAGTGTTACGTTCAGCAAGAAAGTCAGTGGTTGGAGCACTGTGGAAGAGTGACAGTAGGAAATGTGGTTGGAGACACAGCAATGGGCTCCCAGTCTTTATACAGGAGGTGGACATATCAGACCCCGGGGTGGCACATCTGAAACAAAGCAGAATTGCCTGAAGTGGTGCCAAAAGTGCTCTGCAACCCTCTGGCCGCTAAGAGTTGGCAAGGGTGTAAACTGATCCCACCGAGTTGGACAGATTAGGTCAGCCTCTTCCCCCAAAAAAAACAAAACCCAGTTACATCGCCATTAATCGAAAATTGAGAGTCCTCTCCTTTTTCCGGGACCTAACCTTACCGCCAAACTGAATACTTGATAAAGTGAAGCGTAAACGATTGCTGAAAACCAGCCTCAACCTATCGGGTCAGGACAGCAGTTAATTCCACTGCCCCAGATCCCGGGCTTCCTCGCGCCTGTGCTAGACGACCGAGAGAAAATATGCACCAATCATAAGGCAGATATGGAGTACGAATCGTCCTCAAGGCCAATAAGAGAGCTGGTAGGCGGGGCGGAGGGCGCGGGTTCGCTCCCGGGGTTTAAACCTCCAAAGCCAGACGGTTAACGGCTTAGGTGGGTGCGTGGGTGGATAGTACGCCTGCGCGAGACCGGAGCACTAACCGAAATCTGCGGGGCTCTTCTGGTAGGGCAGCCCGAGGCGGGGCAAGTTTCGGACGTCGGTGAGGCGGGTGAGCTGGGCCGAGGCTGAGAGCCATAGGGGCTGGGGGATGCTCGCCCGCTACTGCGGGAGCCAGTGCTTCTTTTTCCTCCTTTAGACTCTTACGGAATTGCAGATTCCCTCTCCTTTTCCTGGAGCGCCGTCCCATAGCCTGGCGTTCTTAACGAATCCTAATTGTGTGTTTCCTAAGGCGCTGTAACCCGTACTGTTCAGTGCACAGGGCAACTGCAGGCCCTCCAGGTCACAAAGTGTGCCTGCTGATCGTGCGACGCTGCCCGCCCTTCGGTCGGTCGCCTGTGAGCTAGTGCACCGAGCCCTGGGGGAGTTGGTTCCTTTCTCCTGGGAAGGAACCGAGCTCCTGGAGCCCCTCCCGGCCAGCTGGTTTCGACTGTTGTCTTTGTTGTTCTAAAGAGCAGACAGGAAAAAATAAAAATAATTTTAAAAATAAAGAGCAGACAGATCTTCTTACCTTCGAGTTACACTTTTTGTGGACTTCTGGAACTGACCATATCAGAAAGGTGTTTGCCTAATGAGTTAGGAGGTAGTCTTATCCCAAAATGAAAATAAACCCTTTCTTACTGTAAAATTACATATAATTAATAATGCAAATTTTAAAGAAACTACATATCCTTTTCAATATCCAGCGCTGTAAGAGTGAAAAAATAAGCCCCACCCCACCTCACCCCCGCCATACTCCCTATGTTAGGGGTAATTGATTTTACTAGAGGGCAGTTTTATCATCTTGATTTAGGATTTAGATTTTACCATAATTTCTAAGACATAGTCCACTTCCAGGAATTTATTCTAAGGAGATACATCAGACAGAAATGTAGACTTGTATATGTACATGTTTTTAGAAGTAAATAAGCAATATTAAGTACACAAAGATGAGAAAGAAAATAAGTCCATCAGCCACAAAAAATCATCAAATAAAAAACACTATTTCATTATATTTACATTGTTATCCTTATTGAAATGTCATTGCTTTGGTTACCATGAATACATAGATTATGTCTTATTCAGTCAATGCCGTATTCAGAACATGTTTCTATGCCATTGTAGATGTGCATTACCATTTTTAATGAATGAATGGTACAGCTGTATTGTACCATATATTTAGCCAGTCCCCTAATGATGTTTGTTTCCAATTTCTTCATGATCATAAAATAGTGTGTTACTGGTCGCTTGTACATATGCAGGTTTGCATTTTTATCCAGTGTTAACTTAGAATAAATTGCTGAAAGCAGATAAGGGTTTTTTTAAGTATTTTTTTTTTAGTTGTAGTTGGACACAACACCTTTATTTTATTTATTTTTTTGTGGTGTGAGGATCAAACCTAGGGCCTCACATGTGCTAGGCCAGCGCTCTTCCGATAAACTACAACCCCAGCCCAGCAGATTAATTTTGAAGTGATTATTTCTTCACACTGTCAGCACTGAATATTGGGGGGGAACTTCAGTCTAAAAAGATATCTTAATTTGATTATTAATGAGGCTAAACATTGTGTTTTAGTCATAATATTTTTGGCAAATATCTTTTCCCTATTATTTTACTGATGTGTACTTTTTAATAATTTTAATTATTGATTTTAAACATATTACAAGTGCTTTCTTCAGTTTGTTGTCTCTTTGACCTTCTTATGGTGGTATTTGCTTTAAGATAGGATGTTTTAATACTTTCATTCTTTAAGTTGTCTGCTTACCTCCCCTGTGGTAGAGGAATTTTGTTATAACTCTGCAGTAGACTCCTTATAATGCTTAGAATCTATGGACTCAGCTCCTCTATCTGCATTTAAAATCCTTCCTCCTGTAAAATCCTTTCAATTTTAACTAGCTAAACCTGGGACAGTGAGTCACTTGAGATTTTTGAAAAAATTTATATTGTTAGATATTTTGGTCAAAACTATCCTATTTATCTACAAAATATAAGTTGCTCTAGCAAGTTTCCCCTCTAATAGAAAAGATTGCTGTGTCTTAATATTAGAAAAGATTGATGACCTGTGGACCTTATTAAAGTTAGCATCTCAGTGTTTGCAAACATCTTTCTTCACATGTTCGATGACAAATGAATGTGATGTAATTTAAACACAAAGAAAACACACATAATACAGTTACATATGCCATCTTTTAAAAAATCTCCTGGCTTTAGTATCAGAAATCCTCCCAGTCCAGGGTCCCACAAATCACTAAGGATTATCTCATTTAAACTCAAGAACTTTTGATATAATTCTTTCCATTCTAAAAACAGATATCATAGTTTGCTTTCTTCTAACACTCAGTGAGTCCTTTCTATGGATCAGATTTGATTTTGTACAAACACTGCCTCCAATAACAAGTAATTTGGCAAAGGTACATTTGGGGGCCTTTCATTTGCTCCCTCTGTTATGACTGTCCTGACTTCTTCCTGTGGTAACTATCTAAAATGAGGTTAGTAAATAATTACATTTCCATATTTGATAATCTGGTCAATCTTGAAACGATTTTACTTAAAATCTGATCCTGATTCTCTCTTTGCTTCTATATAATCTCCTAGCATATAACTTTTAGCAAGTGCTTTTTGTCATTACATATCATGGTTTTAGAGTCTTTTTTTTTTTAAGATGAGGAATGATTTAAACTCTCTTTTCCTTTTCTAGGTTTTTGTTGTTGTTGTTAACGTGAATAATAATGCCAATCAAGATACATTTGAAATAAGGTAAGAAACTGAAAAAAAGTAATCGATTTGTTTTTACATGTTTAAGTAAGGGTAGTCTACCATGCTCAGTGATTACACTAAAAACAAGATCTTTACATCAAAATTAAATGGCAAAGGAATAATATTTTAGGAACATTCAGATCATTGTGAAGTGTTGGTTCATCAGATCCCCCAAATTGACAGAGATTCAATATCCAGAAGACATAGATCATACAGTTGGCTATTTTAAATAAATTTATTCTGTATCACTATCTTGCCATTTTAAAATGTAAATACATTCTGGTTCCTTCTCTGCTAGGATGCAAGTCCATCACAATGTACCTCCTCACTTGAATGTTCCACAGGATCATCTCACTTTTCTTAGGCTATTTTATTTCTTAACCCCAGAACTTTTTCAGTAGTCTTATTTCTGTAATACACCTCCTACTGAGCTTCTGTAGCACTAATGAAGTCAGTTCTATGTACATATCAGTATTATTTCTAATGGCCCCATGAGTTTCATATATTAACCAGCAGTTATAATATTTTAAGGGTCACTTAACAACTATGTTTTGAGAACAAAGCCCCACTTCATTTTCTTATCTCAGTATGTAGTAATACCAGCTACTCTTTTGTTCAGATCTGAACCTATAACACTATCCTAAAAGCCTTCCTACTTTTTAACACTACATTCACTCAGAGTCCTACTGCTGCCTTTTTAACCTCAAATTTATCTTCTTTCCATCCCTTATTATTCCTAATACAGATCTATTCTGTCATCTATTGCCTCAATTATTCCAGTAGCCTCACTGGTCTCTCTAGCCTCAGTCTTGCCTTTTTTCAATTCACAGTATACCTAGAGCAGTGCTTTTGCTACATAGATCTGTCTAGCTTTATTTTTTTTCCCCAATCTAAGATTTTTAAGGAAGGCCTACAAAGGTCTACAGATATGACCGATGCCTGCCTTTCTAAACCATGTTTTTGCCATACTGAGGTACAGTTTCCTGAATATATATGCTATAATCTCTAACCTTTATACAGATTGCATCTTCTGAGTTAAGACAGTTAAAGCTCTGGTTCTTTATCCTAAAATTTAGCTTGAGTGTCTTCTCTTTAAATTTATTTATTTATTTATTTTTTTGGTACATAAGATTTATACATAATAGTGAGATTCATTATGCCATATTAGTACATGCACATTACATAATGTAACCAATCTCATTACCTTTCCTTTCCCTCCCCCCCTCCCCCTGGAGGGATTTGGGAAGTACTGGGGAATTAAATCTACCAAATTATGCTGTTTATGTAAGAATATACCACAATGAATCCCAGTGCATATATAATGCACTAATTAAAATAATAAAGACTAATAGAGCAAGTGTTTTTTACATTTAAGACTTGTTGAAAAGAATACTAGAACAGACCATTTGTGTCTCATAGAGCCTAAAGTAGTATTTACTCTGCCATCCTCCCCAAAAAAAGTTTGGCAACTTCTACACTAGATTTATAGGCCTCATAGAAAAAGGTCTTGTGCCATATTTAAGTAAACCAATTTATCTAATTCTTAACTGACTAAATTTGTTATTTTTTAATGTCTTAAAAAATAAAGCTGTTGGGCTGGGATTGTGGCTCAGCAGTAGAGCGCTTGCCTAGCACGTGCAAGGCCCTGGGTTCACTACTCAGCACCACATTTAAAAAATAAAAAATAAAAAAAAGATATTGTGTCCAACTACAACTAAAAAAAAAAATAAAAATTTTAAAAATATAAAATAAAGCTATGAAAATTCAGATTAGTAAAAATCTCATTTATCTTGAAAAAGAGCAGCAAAATGAACTAAACACAGGATCAGGTTTTAATGAATTTGTACATAAGGCACAGGTTTCCAGGTGTACATAAATTACAGTTCTTTACCCCTTCTAGTACTGAGAATTGAACGCTGGGATGCTTTACCACTGAACTATATTCCCAATCCTTTATAATTTTTAAAATTTTTTCATACAAGTTTTTGCCAAATTGCCAAAGCTGGCCTCAAACTTGCAGTCCTTCTGCCTCAGCCTCCTCCTGAGTGTACAAGTATGTGCCACCATGCCTAGCTACAAATGACTTTTGCTTCTTTCATCTCTTAATCCTTTTGGACAGGGATGATAGCCTCTGAACTTTTTCCTGTTTAAACCAGAACTTCCTTAAGAACTTCCTTTCTTTTTTTCGCCCCCTACCCCTAAAAAAGCTGATAATCAGAACTACTAAGACTTCTTGAATTTTTTTTTTTCCCTTTAAATTTCATTTCTACTGCCTACCACTAGCTGGTTGTCGCTTCTTAGGTCCTGGCAAGTTATCTATGATTAAATGATGCTTTTAATTTCTGCATCTACACAGACCCTCTTGGTTGGTTTCTCCAAAACAGTAGTCTCTTCCTCTAGTGTGTCATTACAGTCCCTTTTGGCTTTTGTTTCTTTATGGAATAAATGTGGGTGTTCAATGCGTCCTCTGCGTACAAAATGCTGGATCCGGGATTCCAAACCTTGGCATTTAGGACGGTCCATGAGGGGTCTATATGTGCGCATTTTCACTCCTTCTACAAAGGCACTGGTCTGCTTTATGATAGAGGGCTTAATGTTTCTCCACTCTATTGCTCCATCCATCTTTGGTCCCGTCCCATAGGGTAATTCAACCGAGTCCAGTCCTTGTAGCATACTATATAATATCTGAGTTTTCACAGCATGATTAGCCCACAGTTGTTGCAGGTGAGTAACATTGTACTCCTGAACCTCCTGATCATAGATCCACGTGATATTTTCAAACTTACAGTCGTATAAGACTAGAGGAAATTCTATAGCCATACTAGAGAAAAAGAGAAGAAACAGTGTGAGAATCCATAGCAGCCACTTTTTAAAAATGGTCCTTTTTTAAAAAACTGAGGTTTGCTTTAGCTAAAAAGTAAGGGAAGACTGCAGGTATCAATATTGAGGATCTAGTAGCTAAGAAAATACAATATTATCTTATCCTGAAAATTTTATTATAATTTTAAAAAGAAAAAAAAAGCAACAAACCATGGATCAATTTGGTCTATATTTGGTAAATGTCAGTAAAGAGGTGAGTTGACACTGCAGTAAAATCCAAAACAGCTCACAGTATTATCCAAATTTGTTAATTTGGCATTCTATAGCCTGGGAATGAATTACTAGTATCTGACCTCAACTTGTTCTCAAAAGTACAGTACCATGACTATTTAGTAATACAAAATAATCCAGATATAATGTATCCGTGCTTTAATTTCTCCAGTAACTAATAGTAGTGCCTATTAACAACAAATTCAAAAGCAAAAAAGATGTGGGAATGAATATTCAGGAGTTAAGAGGCCTGCTCCAAATACCTGTTTCCTTACTAATAGAATAAAACAATGAGAAAATTAGAATATATTCCCACATGTTCACAACATTCTACAAATTAGATTAAGAGCTTCCTGAAATCAAAATCAGTAACTTGGTTATTTAGACAATCTTGGGGAAGGGGGCATGCTAATTTGGTTTGGTTTAACTTACCTATATTGAGGTTTCTGGGGATTTCTCTCTATGTTCAGCAATTCATCAATAATCTCTGGCTTCTCCAATCCTTGGCCAATAAGAAAAAGGATAGCCATCATACAGCGGACTTGATGATAAAGGAATGCCTGGCCAATCACTTCAAATTGACATAACTGGAAAGGTTCTTGCCATCTCTCCTCACCCATGCTTTGGCTCACTAGCTGTACTTGAGCAGACAGAATCGTCCTCTGAAAATTAATAACTCCATTGGCTACATCCATTTTACACAAATTCCTGAAATCATGGGTGCCAACATACTTCTGAGCTGCGAAATTCATTGTTAAAATATCTAAATCAGCACGAGGGAAAAAATAGCGGTAAGTCCGCTCAAGACAGCTAAACCTGGCACTGAAACTAGGTTCCACAGGGGCCCAGGCCAGTACACGGATGTCTGGAGGAAGCACCCGATTGAGAATGTGGGTGTAACGGATCTCTTTCGCAGCATCATTGGCTTCATCTTTTAAATTAGGGTCCTCTGAATCACTGCCCCTTAGAAACCGAGAACGTAGGTCAAGAGAAATCACCTATGGAATTAAAAAAATATACTGTATTTTAGAGATACAGATAATCTCAATACTCCATGTACACCTAGATACCTTGGTATTAGTTGCTTTGAGAAATAGTATACTGGCCCTTACCTGTCCAAAGGCACTAACTCCTTTGTCTGTTCGCCCACACCGGTGATAGTTGGAAGTCTGTCTGCTTTCTACTAGTCGAGTCTTGGTTAAAGCCTCAAATAATTTCTCTTCAATGGTATTGTTTGTGTTTTCCTGACTAGCAAAGCCCTGGTATCCCCAGCCCAAATAAGCTATTCTTAGGGCCACATGTCTTTTGCCATGAGCACTGAAGTCAAATGCACGCTTAGCTTTTCCAGATCCTGAAGAATCTTCTTTAATAGTTGAGTCTTTAATGTTGTCCTGTTCTTTCTTAAGTCTTTGCACCTCCTGCTCCAATTCTTGTACTCTTTGTAGGAGTTTCTCAATCTGGTTTCTATCTGTGTCATTTTCAGCCATGATATGACGACCCTAGGAATAAACAAACAGTACTGAAAAGAGAGCAAAGGGATAAAACAATGTCAGCACTAGTTCCTTTGGTGATGTCAATCCTTATGGTGGAACAGCAACTAAGATTTAATCTGATGCCCAAAGAGTATATATAGGCTTTGCTTGCCCAGAGATATAAGCACTGGTTTAATTACTATGGGCTGATTATTCATGGATATTATTCTTTTATGTAATATCTGGCCAACTGACAGGGGAAAAGAGAATATATTCACCTATTAAGGGTTTTTTTTTTTAATTATTTAAAATTTGGGGGGGAAATACTGATTTCACTTCTTTTTTCTTCATTAACAGATGACTGATGACTCATTACTGATATGTTTTTCTCTATGACATTTTCTGTTGATTTCCCATTATTATCCAACTTTTCTGATCATATGATTTCTTTACTTGGGCTATTTACAACTACTTCTGAGTTTCTAATGGTTTCTAGTACTTCAGATAAAATAAGTGATTTGTATGTTTTATCAGCTATAATATTCTGTTTTAAAGGTGGCACAAAATAAGCTAGCCTAATTGAAGAAATATTATCAGTTATTACATTTCACATTGGAAGGACAACCTGGAGACAAGATTCTATTGCTTTCATTAAGCATTCCTCATGGCAGAAAAAAGGTAATTAACCATTACTGACCTTTTATTAAGCCAAATTTAATGTATATTCTGATAAAAGATTGCTATACCTCTGGCACAGTTACAAGAGTCAGTCTGATGTAATTTAGATGTCAGTGCTGAAATTTCTATATATTTCAATAATCTGAGGGCAAATATACTGCATTCTTAATCCATTTTGTCCCGTCATACCATATTGGAACACCTATAAAACCACAATATATAATATATAACTTAATTATATAATTACAATAGCTATAATATTAATATACATAAGCTGCGGATTATTACTTCCTATCTATTCTAATATATTTGTGTAAATTTTGTTGAAATAGTCAGACTTGAAAATTTTTAATTTTAATGGGTTGAGATTGGGACAGTCCTATACAATCTGATTGATGGTTGGTTATTCTAAAAGTTGACTGGTAATTAAGCTAGGTTCTGCCCTTTGATGAGTAGATTAAACGTAAAAAGCGAAACAAATAGAAGTAACAACATAGAATAATTTTTTCTTATAATACTGGAGGAAGAAAAGGCATTTTTAGGTAAAATGCTATAAAAACCAAGAAACTAGAAAATCAAAATGTGACTACTAAAAATAAAAATTATTGCCAGCAAGGCAATCAATTAATAAAAGGGGGAGCTGAGGTTGTGGCTCAGTGGTAGAGCGAATGCCTAGTACATGCAAGGCGCTGGGTTCAATCCTCAGCACCACATAGAAAAGGTATTGTGTCCAACTAGAAAAAAAAAAAAGGAATGATGGTAAAGGTCTAAATTCTTTAGTATATATAAGTACTTCATTAATAATGTAGTCACTTTTAACAAAAAGACAATAAGAAAAAAAATCCAACAACTGAGAGGTAAATGGACAAAGACCAACCATTTCATATAAAAAGCTCAGGTTTACTCACATTAAATAAATTCAAAATATATGAGAAGTTCTCACAGAACTGACTATAAGGATGACAAAGTTTGCTAGTCCACTTTGGAGAGAGGTAGGAGAACAAAGATCTAATATATTATTGATACAGCTTCTTTAAAAGATGAGCTAAATATTTTGACAACAGCTATCAAATTTGGACACATTATCTTTTGACCCACCTCTTCCATGTCTAGAAATTTAACCTACACAGTATTTTAAAAGTTGCAAGATATTCATTGTAACAATAGTTTTTTCTCACATTTATTGTTGGTGCATTGTAGTTGTACATAATGATGGGATTTGTTGTTACACATTCATATTTGCACGCAATGTAAACAATATAATTTGGCCAGCATCACTCCCCAGAACCTCCTATAACATTAAGTTACCATGAACCTAAATAAATTATGTCAATAAGGGTCCAACTAAATTATGGAATGTCCATACATTAGAATTCAATGCAACTTTAAACAAAATGAAGTAAAACTACGTGTGCTGTTAATAGCTGGATCACTGCTATTACCTTTAAGCTTCAGAAGTTTCCAACTGTGTTGCTATATAGCATTAAAAAAGTACATGTGAATATGTATTTCTAGAGAAATTAAAACTGAAGCTGGGCATGGTGGTGAGGCGCCTGTAGTCTCAGGACTCAGGAGGCTGAGGCAGGAGGATCACAAGTTGAACACCAGCCTCAGCAATTTAGTGAGGGCCTAAGTAACTTAGTGAGACCTTGTCTCTAAATAAAATACAAAGCAGGACTGGAGATGTGGCTCAATGGTTAAAGGCCCCTGAGTTCAATCCCTAGTACTAAAAAAAAGAAAGAAACTAAAAACCGTCTTTGAGAGAGAAACCTGGTCAGGAAGGGAAAATTATTTAAAATTATCATAAACCATTTTTCAATTTTGAAAAAAGAAATAGTGGGGCACAAAAACTAGTGGGCAATAGATAACCTACCTTGGATCTTGGCCATTTGATTTAAATACTAAAAGTTTTATCTGTGGCATGGTACTAGAATGAACAGATTTACCTTGGCTACTGAAGATGCTTTAAAATTACTGAAGGACAGGGAGTATTATGCCTACATACATATATGTGTGTAAGTGTAATAACATAGTACTGCTTTTTGATGGTTTTTAGATTCGGTCACTTTTAGGGCTCAAAGCAAGGACTCAGTCTGAAGCCAGACTGCTGGAGTTAGAATTCCAGCTCTGCTACTTATTAGCTGTGTAACTTTAGGCAAGTTACTGAATTTCTCTACCTCATGTTACTCATCTACATAAAAGAACTAATCCTGTGATTGTGAGGATTACATGAATTAACAAATGTTAAATGCCAGGAACACAGTATATCCACTAGACATGTTACATGATATGCACTAAACAGTATGCCCCAAATATAGTCTCAAGCTTTTTCTTATGTCAGAACTCACTTATCTTGTCGTAAGTGCTACTAAGTATGGCAAGGGAGTAGAAAGCCAGGAGTAGAAATGAAAGCAGAAAATAGATTCTGTAGAGTTGAATTAATGCCCCTCTAAACTATTCTGACAGTTTAATTCTCTACTTATTATATTTATAGTTACCTTAGCCATTCTTTTTCCATTTGACTCTGTAAAATTGAGATAACAAGTATGATAGCTTGTGAGCTAGGAATTTATCAGAAGACTGACCAATGTTATTATCTCTTGCAGACAGTCCTACAGTGTAGGGGAAGCAATGGAGGAACTTGTAGGACCAAATGGACAAAAATGGGCAAATATGGATCCAGAAGAACGAATGTTAGCAGCTGCTACCGCATTTACCCATATCTGTGCAGGGCAGGGGGAGGGAGATGTCAGGAGAGAAGTCCAATGTAGCCAGTACGATCCCTACAGTAAAGCTTCAGTAACCCCAGGGAAGCGACCTGCTTTTCCTGTACAACTGCAGTACTCACAGATAGAAAGTCATGCCACATCAGAAACGGTCTCAGAGGCTTCCCAAAGACTCCGAAAGCCAGTAATGAAGAGAAAGGTGCTTCGTAGAAAGCCAGGAGGAGAAGTATTAGTGACAGATGAGTCAATTATCAGTGAATCAGAATCTGGTGGAGAAACTGATCTGGATCTCTGGGACTTAAGACAAAGGTTGATGAATCTGCAGTTCCAGGAAGACAGGGAATCCTCAATTGATACTTCACAAAATGTTAATCTACCACATGAGTACCAAGGAATTTCACAAGATCAGCTCATTTGTTATCTTCAAAGAGAAGAAATGGGCCCTCCAGCTTATGAACAAGATCTGATTGTTGCCAGCAGACCCAAGTCCTTTATTCTCCCAAGGCTGGACCAGTTAAACCGAAACCGGGGCAAGATAGACCGGGTAGCCCGATATTTTGAGTACAAAAGAGACTGGGACTTAATGCGGTTACCTGGTGAAGATCATAGGAAGGAGTTACGCTGGGGTGTCCGAGAACACATGCTTTCCCAAGCAGAACCCCAATCCAAGCCTCAGCATGTATATGTTCCAAACAATTATCTAGTACCAACTGAGAAAAAAAGATCTGCCCTTCGTTGGGGTGTTCGCTGTGACCTTGCAAATGGTGTCATGCCCAGGAAGCTTCCCTTCCCTCTTTCTCCTTCTTAAAGTCTTTTTTCTTGTTTCTCCTTCCACAGGATTGTTTAGGATAACCTGCTTCTTTGTATCTCCTTTTAAATAGAAACGACTTGAAAAGCCCACAGAACACTGTATAGAATAAGAACTTCACCCATCATTGGTAGAAAAACCAGGTGGGGAGGTATAGCTTTATATCACATAGGTATTAAACATCACTTAACTTTCAATTTACCACTCAAGGGCAGCAATTGCATGAGAATATCAATGCTAGAGAAAGAAAACCTACCTTTTCTTTGTATTTTGTCAATTTAGTAAGCACCAATTTCTGTTCAATAACCTTTCCTTGAGGCAGTGTGGATTGCGGTGTTCTAATGTGTTTTTAAAGTTGGTGGGCATTAAGCTTATCTATTAAAGAATTTTGGAAATTCATGAGCTTGAACCTTATTTTATGAAGTATTCTCAAGTAAGACCCTAGACCTTACTCACCATCTAAAATAAAAGCCAAAAAAAAAAGAAGCTTGCCTTTATAGTCCTAAAGGGCTGGAGACGGGTAATGGCATAGATAACCCCATTATTAAATTCTAGTAAATACAGGTACTTTTAAATAGATGCCCTAAAACAGTTATAATGACACAGTATCCTAACCCAAGTTTTCAGGAATTATTTCAATTAGATATTGTTCTGGAATACCATGCTTAAAATTTTATATTTTTTATAATTTTTAAATTTTCTTTGGAATTATGCCTGTCATTTGAAGACTATTTCTACTCTCAATAGAACTTCAAAGTACACCTGGAATCAGATTTAAATATCAAAGTGAATCTGGACTGTTCAGATCAAATAAAAATTGTGCTCATCTTATATTGGAACTTAGTTCTTATTTCTTATTCAATGAAGAATATCTAAAATGTGGAAGTTGTCAGTTTTAGCACTTGAGGCCTGAAGGGTGACAGCAGAAAGGAAGAAAATATTTAATAATAATAAAATGGCCCTGACCACTATCTGCTAAAACGCATTCTGCATATTTCAGACTACATGATACATTTGCCCAGTTCCATTATTAGACACTTCCTGACTAATAATGGAATACAGATACAGGTAGAATATATCTACTGCAAATAAAAACTGCAAACTCCAACAATACTAGGTTTCTTGTTAAATATGACATTAGAATGTCACAGAAGGTAATGGAAAAAATGCAAACAAGTAAAGCAAACCTACAGCAGCATCTTAGTCATACACAAGCAAAGCACTGCAGGGGGTGAGTGGGGGAACACCTAAAACAACTCTGGGTAATGGGATTAAAGGTAACTCAGTTTTTCAAAACTAAAAATTATAGGGTGATGTTTCTCTAGAAAGTAATTTACCTTTATCAAAAAGTTTCCAAAGTAACTAGACAGGCAAGTGGTCATTAAGCAGATTTATGGTAAAAAAGTTCTTGAGCCCCAGACTCAATTCTTGACTAAGTCTAGAGCTTTTTCCAGTACACCACACCCTTCTGAGAGTGAAATATAGCAGTTCCCAGGCAGATGTAACACGTGGAAGGGGTGCGTAAATTACCATAAAGGAGATTCTTGGGTGCGCTTGTCATGAATAGCCACCATCAGGCGTTCAATACCTTTTAGAAATTCATAAAGGGATCTTAATCTTGAAAACAAGAACAAGTGGAATGGCAGAAACACCATTCCTCGTGATAAAACAATGGGAGTTGTTTTATCTAACGGGAGTTCGAAGAAAAGCCCAAAGGATTAGGGGACATGGAGGACGATCACTTAATACTTAAAAGCAAGTGTGGTGTATAAAGCAAACCCCCAAATAACGTGAAAATTTCCACGACTCCCTCCCATAACAGTAGTATACTACTGGGCTTCCAACTTCTGTTTACTTTTTGAGCAAACAATTCCACTAGTGCAATAAAGAGTCCACGGTCCCTCTAAACTCAAGACCCTACGGATGGGACTTTCTGCCAGGAACTCCATAAATACAAGATATACAAAAAAAGATCCTAAACCTAGTACCATTTCTAACACCAACGCCTTCCCGAAGAGTATGGGAAAATGCAAAAATGAGAAAACACCCTACAGCTGTGCGTCCCCTTGCTCCTACCCGGTTAGAACCCAAAAAGCAACCCACCACACAGCCCACGCTCACCTTCCGGCCGTCGGCCGCGCGCCCTCAGCGAGACCGGAAGCTGTCACTTTTCACCGCCTACGTGCGCTGAGGCCTCATGGGAGGTGCCGCCGCGGATGTGGGAAATGTAGTTCTAGGGCCCGGGTGCGGCTCAACACCAAAATCACCTCCGAGGAAGATTTTTAAAGCAGCCACCGTTTTTCCACCCCGACAAGGCATCATACGGAGCCTATTGTATACAAGAATAAAAGGAGGAATTCTAGTGCTGCGCTAAAACAGTAAATAAGAGGTGAATTTCAAATGTCTGCTCTCCTTTTACGAAAACTGAGACTGCAAATCTTGGCCCGATTTTGTATCTTTTTAACTAGCAGATAGTTATCCGTGAGAAAGTATTTACTATTGCATTCGAAGTGTAAAGGCTAAAAAGGAATATTGTAAACCTCAAAACAAACGTCTGAAAAGCCCTGACACTGACGGAACAGAGCTTGGGGGTGCTACTTCAGCACCAAGGAGAGATCATGAAGACAGTTTTGTTTGTGGTTTTTTGTGAATTTACCCCCAATTCCAGAGATGCCGACCCAATGCTCGAAATTCCAGTGGAAACTGGGGAGCACGGGGTGGGACGGAGACCTGTTTTTTTTTTTTTTTTTTTTTGTCCAATTTAGCAGTCGCTAGTTCAAGGATTTATTCTGGATTATGCAAATACCTGTGGCCAGTTAAGGTTGTACCTAACTAAAGGAAAGACGTTTTCTCGGGGTTGCTTTAACAAAGGACATCTCGGAATAAAAATCAAATTAGGTCGGTATCGGGGAACTTTACAGTTCTCTAGAGCAGGGAGTTGAACTCTGCAACTTCAGCATTCGAGCTCATTCATTCAGGTCAAACCCATTTTGTCCCTCTACTTTCCCATGCGATTCGTTAAGCCTATCTTACATTTTGTGGTGTGCAGGAGATATTCAGGGAAACAGAGATATGAAACCCTGAAGCAGGCTGTGGAGCACAGCCTCACCACCGGGAAAATTGCTGGGTAGTGGGTCCCAAGCTGTTGGTGGTTCGCTTAACAAAGGTCAGCACCACGAGAACATTGACTATGGTGATGTCCCCTCCGCAGTTTCTAACACCTGGCGCGAATGAGGGGCTAGTCAAACCCCAAAATTCGCGAATCAATACAGCGCTTCAGTGCTCTTTAACGTCTTCCCCGACGCTCATCCTCCGCCCCCTCCGCGCCTAAGCCCAGGCGCCTGCGCGCTGCATTGCGGGTGGTCGCGGGGATGAGCCTGCCCCCTGAGCGAGCCCATTGGCCACCGAGTGGCGCTGGGCCCAGCCTCGAGCCTAGGGTGGAAGCACGTGCTGGGGGCGGGAGCAGCGATCGCAGCTATGGCGTCGTTACTTTGGGGAGGCGACGCAGGGGCTGCGGAGAGCGAGCGGCTGAACAGCCACGTAACCGCCACCGAGCAGGGGAGGGCAGAGGGGCGGGGGCTATCGCAGGAACTCCCAGAGGGAAATCTAGACAAGGAGAGCCCTGCTAGCTTTTGAAGTGGGGTGTCAAATGGTGGAGGGGAGATGTGGAATGGGTTTGGAAGAGGGCCACAGAAAAGGAGACCCACAGGGAGAAAAGACCTTTGGTTTGAAAGGGCAAAGTGAAGATACCTGGAAATCCAGGGAGGGAAAGCAGCTGGGAGTCCTAACTAGACTCTTTTGAGTTTTCTACTGTAATTTGACTATTAAGCTAATTTCTGTCTTGTATCTGCCAACGCACTTTCTTAGCCACTAACATCTTGTCGGCGCTGTGATTCCCAAGTATTGCCTACGGGTAAAGTAGAGGCCTAATAAAATGGAACTGCATGGTGCAGGGACTACAGAAAATCTCCAGTTTTAGGATAATTCATACAGGGAATCTATATCTGAAATGAACCCATTAGTCGATAACATTGCAAAGGAAATAGTTATGGGGTGATCTTCCCTGAACCCCTCCAGTCCCTGTTGTAGGGGAGCACTGGGCTGCCTGATGATTTGCTTAATTTTGGTTGAAATTTGTGTCTTTCAATAGTTTTCAAATCTCATCCACCCCCGGAAGAACCTTCGGGGTATTAAAAGTACCGCAGTCCCAAACATAGGTGAGTGCTATTAGGATAAAGAGGTTAGTCTCGATTGATTACAAAGTATTGCTTTCATCATGTCCCTGCCAGCTGAAATACCTTTGGGTCCCTTAATTTTTGAGACCCTACACTAGCTTCCCAATGATTTTATCCACTATCCCTATGATAACACTGTCCATATATACTGTAGACTTGGGGGGTATGGGGATAGTACTGTTTACATTTCTGCTCAGCATTTATCTTTGCATTCATTGTTTCTCTTCTGTTCTTTTAGATGGTTCTCTTAACATCGAAGATGATGATGAAGATGATATAGGTAGGAGATAAATTCGTTTGCATGTATTTACTAGTGTTCTGTTTGGTTTATTATCACTTTCACAATGTGAATGAGTAATATCGCAATTGGAAGGAGCTGCCTTCATTTCTATTTTCTTTATTAATAGTGTCTGAAGAAATACTAAATTAGGAGGAGAATATTTCTTTAGAGGAAGTTGGGATATTCAAGGAGTAGGTTAAGAATTTCTACTTAGCAAGTAAGAGTGGTGGAGATGGATGTTGGTTTGCTTGAGGTTAGACACTGGTGTGGTGACAGAGCATAAGAAATTGGATCTTCATGAAGGAAGAAATTCTCAGTGACATGTCATTCTTTCCAGAACCTTCTTGTAGAAGAAAGATGAGAGTAGGTTAGGTTTGATTGATTGGTATACAACCACTGAATGGGAGAGAGCAACTTTTTAGATATTTTTCAGGAGGCTTGATGCCCTCCCCTTTTTTATTTTTGCTTTTCTAGTGGATTTGGCAACTAATTCACTCTTGAACAAGTTAATCCGTCAGTCCTTAGTAGAATCCAGTCATCGAGTAGAAGTTTTGCAAAAGGATCCCAGCTCTCCACTCTACTCAGTAAAAACATTTGAAGAGTTGAGACTGTGAGTATTTTAACTTTTTGGTATGGAAAAATGCTAAAGCATAGAACATAATAAACTATTCTGCTAATAATAAAAACCTTCGGGATCTTGTTTTCTAATATTCAGTATTAAAATGAGATGTGTATGTTATGCATGCAACTAAGATGTACCCCAAAGAAGAACACCAAGACACACTAGTTGCCCAAGAAATTGAAACATTTTCTTTAGTAAAATATTTTAATTTTATAGCCCAAAGAGAGGCACAGCCATATTGCCATTCTACCTATGAGAATCCAAATACAGGGACATTGATGACTCAAACATCCTTCCTCACCAGCTTTATAAAAAGTTACAAGATTTTTCTTTTCTAATTATATTTTGTTTCAGATGGTATTAAAATTAATAACTTTCCCAAGTGGGTTTACATTCCCTAGGAATTTATCAGTTGCCTTAAGTAAATATATTTTAACAAAAAGAGAAAGTCACATATTACCAAACCAAGCCCTTGCCCATTGCACATGAATGGGGATGGCAAAACAGGCATAGTTTGATAACATTTTGGCAAGCCAACTAGGAGGTAAATCCAGACATACCTTTTGTTCATGTCTTTTTGGCCACCAGCTGCTGAGCTTCTTGTTCCAAGGACCATCCCTGGGACTTTCTGCTCTAAACACTACTGACCTTTGGCACATGATTTTACTTTTGCAATAGAGAAATGGTTTGAGGGTCTGGAAGGCATCTTATTCAGTGAATAATTTCAGTAAAAGTGACAGATTACCATTTCTCCTTCCTTCTGGTTTGGCCTTCAAGGCTCCTGGTTTGGGGGAACCAAATGTTTGAGTCCATATGTTACCAAAGTCTTGGTTGGGTAACATATGGACTCATGTAAAAGGTAAAAAATCCAAAATCCCAATATCCAGATGTTTTCTATATATTGGGAGCCTGCATAATGATTAAAAATTGTTTGACTGTCATCTATCAATTAATCTACCAATTAGGAACATCCAACTAGACAAATCACTAAAAGTGAAATTGTTCCAGCTCACTTGCTTTATCCTTATTCTAATATTTTTCTTAAGACTCCAGGAAAGATTCATTAAAAATACTGTCTTGGAAAGGATTACAAGTTCAAGGTCTACCTGGGCAATTTAGCAAAATCTTGTTTCAAAATAAAAAGGACTAGGGATGTAGCTTAGTGGTAGAATACTTGCCTGGCATGTGCAAGGCCCTGTATTTCATCCCCAGTATCACAAAGAAGAAAAAATAAAATACTATCCCAGAAGGATAAAGTAATATATAATAAGTCTGAGAGAATTGATAAAAGGATTATCTCAATAAAACTGTCTTTTCTGAAAATTTCTGTAGAAAACATCAGTGTCATTCATGCAAAAGAAATAACAAGTGTCACTTAGTTTTCTGTTTATGTGAAAAATATAACTCTCCTGGCAAACTAATGTATTTTTTTATCAAATGAATTCCCTTTTTGTTTTTTGGTTTTTTTAAATAGGAAGTTCAACTTTAGGTTTATAGCATAGCATATGATTTTAGTGACCCAACTGTAGAGATGTGATTGTATGTGTTTGGGGAATTGAGGTATGAATGATATATTTCTAAATATTTTAAAGCTCAGTTGCAAAGTTGCTTAATTCATAAATATATTTTTCAAGTATGTATCTATGAGGCTAATGACCAAGCATAGACTTTTTTAAGTGTTTTTTTTTTCTTTTACAGAAAGGAAGAATTACTAAAAGGAATCTATGCAATGGGATTTAACAGGCCATCCAAAATCCAAGAGATGGCTCTTCCTATGATGCTGGCACATCCGTGAGTTTCCAGGGTAGTGGTATTCCAAGTTGGTTATTTTTAGTCTTTTCTTTTTTAATTTATGCCCAGGCTCTTGTATTTAGTTTATGCCCAGTGGTCTTCTCTTTCTTACAGTCCCCAGAACCTCATAGCACAGAGCCAGTCTGGAACAGGAAAAACAGCTGCCTTTGTCTTGGCAATGCTAAGCAGAGTGAATGCCTTGGAGTTGTTCCCACAGGTAAGGAAGGGCTTCGGGAAAGGTAGAAGTCCTTGTAATGGCCATGATATTTTAATAATAGGTGATATCATTGTAAATACATGATCACTACAATGATAAAACAGTATGTGGAATGGCCATTCCTTCATAAAGTCCTAAGAGCATTGGGCAGCATTATGGGACATGTATAGTCCAAGGGGTTCCAATCCCTGCCTCTTCACTAATCAGCTAGCTAGGCAAGTTAAAATCACTTGGAGTCTGTTTCCTTGTCAGTAAAGATAAAATTTGTAGAGGTATGGATCATAGTTGATCTGTTCACCCCTGAATCCTAACATCTAGCCAATGCTTGGCTTGTAAAACCACTCATTAAACATTGTATGAATGAATGCTTTTCTCATAGGGTCATTGTGTGGATTCAGTGAAACTCATTTTTAGCACTGTGCTTAGCATAAAGAAGATTTTTTAATAGCCAGCAAGAGGAGAAGGAGACCATATTCAGGCTGTGATTTATTTTGCCTTCCCTCTAATTCCCATCTTTCCTACATCCCATTCTTTTATCAAATTACCCTTTAGAGGGGAATATGTAAAAATTAGCATTTATCCATCCTTTAGACCCTCCCCCCTCATGCCCAGCATTTACTTCAAACCTATTGACTATTAAATTGTATTTGATTTAAAATATTTAATCCAAGCCTCCAAAGTCATCTTTGTGCCTCTCCCTGTACAAATTTTAATGGAAATTAAAAATTGAACAATTACCTGTATGAATCTTTCTCCTCTCCTCTTCTCTCACAGTGCCTCTGCTTGGCTCCTACCTATGAATTGGCTCTGCAGACTGGCCGTGTGGTTGAGCGGATGGGAAAATTCTGTGTGGATGTTCAAGTGATGTATGCTATTCGAGGGAATCGAAGTATGTACCAATAAGCCAGGCCTGGCTGATTTTGAAAATCCTGACTTCACCACTAACAAGAGTGTTCTAACTTCTCTGTTTTCTCATTTCTGAAGTGTGGTAAATAATAGCACCTGGATCATTATTAGAATTAGATGTTATAGATTGAGTGTTTTACACAATGCTTGAAACATAATTAGAATCTGTAAATATTAGCTACATCACATCCATATCCTGGAGAGGATGCCATTGTGTGTTGTTTTCTTTAAGACTCAGTTATCTTGTGCAGAACATCTTTTATTTGGGGATTTTTAAAGTATTGCATGCTTATTGTGAAAAGAAACTTTAAAAGATAGAAGATTAGAAGATAAAAATTCAAAGACATTCTTCCTTTCCTTCCAGAAACCTATCCCAAAAATAATTACACTATTGTTAATAGGCAAATGGTTCTATTTTTCTTTTTCTTTTCTTTCTTTTTTTTTTTTTTTGAGCTAATACAAGCACATACAAATGCTTATATATGTATTTGTTTTCACTGAGTATTTACAAAAAATGGGAGCACTTTTTTCACACTGCTCATTCTTTTTACTAGCTGAACAATATCCCACAGTTTATTTTAAGAAACTTATTGATTGAAAACAACAAAAATGGTGAAGGTTTCCACAGCTTTGCCAGTATTTCTTTAAGACAATAGAATTGCTGCATTGTGGATTTTTTTGTTCGTTTGTTTTTGGTTTTGTTTTTTTTGTTTTTTGTTTTTTGTTTTTTTGAAGACATGGTCTTACTTTGTTGCCCAGGCTGGTCTCAAACTTATATGTTCAAGTAATCTTCCTATCTCAACCTCCTGAATAGCTAGGATTACAGGCACACTACCATGCATAGATTGCAAGGTGGCTTTTTAAATGACCAAGCAGAAGAATCAAATATGCAAGACCTTTATTCCCATAAACCTAGAAACTTAGTAATTTTTCTTAACACTCTGCAAAATCAAAACCCATCCATGACCCTCAGAGTTTGCACTTAGAAAATTATTATAAACTTGCTTTTTTTCTGAGTTCTATGACACATTGCCCTGACCTGCGTGTGGCCTGTTGGAATAAGACTGTTCACATCTGAAGGAGCATTTAAAATCCTTTTTTTTCCTAGTTCCCAGAGGCGCTGAAGTCACCAAACAGATTATAATTGGCACTCCTGGGACTGTCCTAGATTGGTGTTTTAAGCGAAAATTGATTGATTTGGCTAAGATTCGTGTGTTTGTCCTGGATGAAGCAGATGTGATGATTGACACCCAAGGATTCTCAGATCAGAGCATTCGTATTCAACGGTAATTTCCAAGTTCATCCTTTCTTCTTTTCTTCTTGGGTTTTCTGTCCAGATGAGGAATTTCATTTGTCTATTGTCCTAATTATTTTGATTGCTTAATTTACCGTCTTTACCTCTAAAACAAATTTGAGTTTTCATTATTTTCACCAGCACCTGGGATCTTCAAACTGCCAGAATTTTCCAACTTCAGCTTACAACCTTGCCTCTCTACTTTCACAGCACAGGCTTAGAGATGAAATCTGTACATTGGGTCTGCACCAAATTTCAGAGTAAACAGAATCTGTTGAAGGATCTATTGAGGAAACAGTGGATGATTGGGATAGAATAAGGAACACAGCAACCTAAAAATCATAGGTTGTTTAGACTTGACTTTCCCTCTAATAAAATCTTATCATGAAAATAAAATCTTATCATTTTCCTAGGATTCTCTATCAGGATCACCTAAAGGACTTAAAATTACAAGATTACCAGACCCAACCTCAGACTTACTGAATCAGAATTTCTGGAAGGTGGGGCTTAGATATCTGTATCTTTTTTAAAAAATAAAGTTATATTATTCAGGGTTAAATTCAAATAGTATCAAAAGATTTGTGATGAAAAACAGTAACCCTCTGACCCAATCCCAAAGAATACTTCTGTTTTTCTGATATTAGCCTTCATCCTTTTAAATAATATGTTCACACTGCTATTTCCTTATATATATTCATTGTCTATCAACTTCCCATTATTAGAGGTGGGACCTGAGTTCTTTTAGACCACTCTCCCTTTCCTGTCTCCTCTATCACCTCTCTGTGATTATATCATCAGGATCTGGTTATATTAACAGTATTGATATCATTTTGACAGTATAAATACTGTTCACTTCTGAGCCAAGCAGTTGTTGTTGTGTTGTTTTTCTCCTACATCTTTTCCCCTAGAATTAATAATTGCCTTTTTTCTTCATTTAGTATCACTATAGGGGTTTTAAGCTTTTCACTGGATGTGTCTTCGTATGTGCCATGTCAGTGGTATCTCCACATAGTCAAATACATTTTTTCTTTTTTTACTGTTTCATATTAGTTACACATAACATTAGGATTCATTTTGACATAATTATAAAAGCATGGAATATTGTTCTAATTCAGTCCTCAGGACTTCCCCTAATCCTCCCTTCCTTCCTCCCCCGCCTTTACTGATTTTTCTATTATAGTTTTTTTTTTTGTGTGTGTGTGTGTGTGTATCTTATAAGTATACATAATAATGAGATTCACTGTGGTACATTTATATATTTACATAGGAAAGTTAAGTCAGATTTATTCCCCTATTTTTTCCTTTTCCTGTTCTTGCCCCCTCCCCCGCAATCCTCTTCCTTTACTCCACTGATATTTCTTCTACTTTTATAAAATTCCCCTCCCACATTTCTTTTCAGGCTAAAAACAAAAGATTTTTTTAACTTTAATATTCAGTTAATATTCTCAGCTTCCAATGTCATTGCTGAAAAATTGAATATCATCCTGATCTCCAAGCTTTTGAGTGTGCCCTTTTTTTCCCACCTCTCTTTAGAAGTTTTGGGGAATCTTCTCTCTCCTCAGTATTCTGAAACTTCTCAGTGACATGCTTTGGTTTATTTCTTACCTTAGACATATAGTATACCCTTTCATTCTCAAAACTTTTGCTTGTCATTTCTGGGAAAATTTCTTAGGTTATTTCTTTTCCGAGTCAGCCAATCCAGAACACAATCATAGCAGACAAAAATTAAATAAAAATAAGAGAAATAACTACACACATGTTATAGTTTAACATAAAAATATGAAATGAAAAACATGTTTATTTGAAAGTAAATCTAGTGCTTTTCTATTATATAAATCCTACTATTTAAACAAAATAACAGTATAATTAGTTTACAGTAGTAATTAATAGAATTTTGTGAGAAAATAGAGCAATGTTTTATAATGTTTTGGTCTCTGATGCAACAGTGTATTTCAACTCTATTTAAACTCACTGTAGGATGTTTATACTTTGTAGGTAATATTATTGTGTACTCTTAAGATTCATAAACATGGGGCTGGGGTTGTGGCTCAGCAGTAGAGTGCTCACCTAGCACATGTGAGGCCCTGGGTTTGATCCTCAGCACCACATATAAATAAATAAATAAAATAAAGATATTGTGTCAATTACAACTAAAAAATATTTTTAAAAAAAGATTCATAAACATAAGTCTTCTTACAGGAGAACATAAATACAATAATAATGAATAGAGATTACCTATACTTAATTTTAAAAGACATGGTTCTTTCTCAGTAAGTTTTTTTTTTCTCTCATTCTTTTTTTCTTTTCCAATGTTATTTTTCTGAACTGCCTATAGTCTTTTTTTATGGGGTGGTAATGCTGAATATAGTGAAATGTAAACTTCTATTTTGACTTGCAGCTCTATGCCTGTCAAAGTCATACTGATTAGTATCAGTCTGATTTGATGACATCAGATTTGATTTGTAATTTCTGGGGAAATTTAGTTAAAATTTAAAAGTTAAATATCCTCTTAAGAAAAATGTTTGAGCATGGAATTTACTTACTGGCAACAGAAGGTTTTTATTTCCATTTGTTAGTTTTTGCAATTTAATTCTCTGATTGTTTTACTTATTTTTACAACATTTTTGAGGTATAATTGACAAATGAACAATCATATATAATTAAGTTATATAACATAGTGTTTTGATGCATATGTTTACATGCATACACATTTTTAAATGATTACCATACTTAGGCTAATTAGCATAACCATCACTTCATGTAGATACTCTGTGTGTGTGTATGTGTGGTGTGTGTGTGTGTGTGTGTGTGTGTGTGTTGAGAACTTTTAAGATCTTTCAGACTTGTTAGGATTATTTTGTAGCTCTCTAGAAATGGCCATCCCAGTTTATTTAGGTAGACCAGCTCTTTGTCATTCAGATCTCTTACATCTATAAATTCATCAGATAAGCTATCCTCATCTAAAATACCCTTCATTTTTAAATACTCTGCAGTACTAGACATCTTTTTCTCAAGGAAAATGGTTGTAAAAGCACAGAGGTGATTTAATCTTTGAAATTAAAGATGGGTTCCAAGTAAATTACACTTTTGGTAAACAGATGATTATAGATTGAATAGAATTTGTCATAATTTACATTTGCACTGCCTACTACATAAACAGATAGTCAAATAAAGACTAGTTTGGATCTGGGCACCATGGCACATACCCATAATCCCAGAGACTCAAGAGGCTGAGGCAGGAGGAACACAGGGTCAAGGCCAGCCTCAGCAACTTAGTGAGGCCCTAAGCAACTTAGTGAAAACCTGTCTCAAAATAAAAAATTAAAAGGGCCGAGGATGTAGCTCATTGGTAGAGCACTTCTACACTAAAAGGTGAGTCATCTATAATCAGCATTCCCCATTTGTTCACCCACGGGACATTTTACATGCCTCCTCTGAACCAGGAAATCTGGCTGTACTCCGTTTTATAGAGATATCAGGGGAACAATGCAATAATGCACATCATTTGTCTGGTATGCCAAGCTAAATCAGGGTCTACTGTTTACAATTGAACACTGGTATCTTTTGAGGAGGCCAAATTTAGAAATTCAGAAGTACTGCCCATCTCATTTTAAAGTTGTGAGATTCGTTTTTCAGATATGCTATTCACATCCCATCCACCATGCCCAATCCCAAATTCTTTCCTTCCAGTGGTGTATTATGCTCTGTTTTCATTATTTACCTTTAGCTCAATTGTGTTAACCTCTATCTGTCATTAAATTAACACAGTTATTTAGCTTTATTTTTCTGTTTGTCTGGATCATACTGATGTTGTCCATTTTTATTGTTTATGTTAACATTAGAATTTTTTTCTGTTTTCAACTTTGTCTCTGAATTATCTAGGTTTTCTTTTTTGTTTGCCACACCTCTGTCTTTCACAGTGGACCTTTCCTCTTTATAACTAATGAATCTTGGCTAGCCTTTCATAATCTAAGATGAGGAATAAAATTCTAGTTGACAGCCTTGTATGCATGGCTGGGGCTTATAATTTGGGAAGCTTCAGTGCTTTGGAATGGTTGTCATCTGGACTTTAATGTCACTGATAGATTTCCCTAGAGCTTGACCCTTAGTTTCTGGCATTTGAAGGGCAGGGTTCGGGAACCAGCTGAGGAGATTCTGTGTTTCAATATACATTATTTTCATTTAATCCCTCTTTTTGGCTGTGTGCTTTGCCCTCACCTTCTACTGATGCTGGCATCCCCAACTCTAGGATTTCTGCACAGAATAAATCTCTGATCTTTTGTTAGTATATGCTTAGCTACCTGAAATAAAGGGATCAAACTTCTCATTCATATTTAAAGTGATTTTGGCCAGAGATCAAGGGAGACTCCCTCCTTGCCATCCTACTAATACATTAGTATTCTTATAAGTGAAAGGAAGTGAAAGATTTAGGACTTCAGGAAAGATTCAGTATGAAACTGGCTTTCTAACAAAGTCCCTTTTATTTTTTATTCAAGAGAATATTGCACATAATGCATCCCACTATGAGGTATAATTATAATGCACCAATAAAAATTTTGGACCATATGGTTGCTCACACATAATATATCTAAGGTACGTTATCTTAGATAAAATTTTTAAACTTCCTGTGTTTTAATTTTACAAGTTCAAAAACTTAATAATACAATTTTAATTTCTGATGTCTTTGAATGAAACAAGGAACAAAAGCAAAAAAAAAGGAGAAAATATTGTGTAATAATTAGAGCACTAATTATTGTGTAATAATTTATGTTGGATTTTGTGGGGGGGGCTTAAAACATGATTAATGTCCAATTAAATATCATGTGAAAAACATGAAATTTTAATTTTCTAATAGCCACATTAAAAAGAAACAGGTGAAATTAATATTTATTTTGTTTAACCCTAGGTATCAAAATATAGTCTCAATAAGTAATTTATTAAGGTTTATTTTTTTATACTAAGTCTTAAAAATCCACTGTGTTCTATAGAATAGCTCAGAATTTTCTTTCCTTATATTAATGTGTACAGAATTTTTCCTTGGAATGAAATGACCAGGCCTCAGAATCCCAGTGTTTATGCCATCTTTCTCCAGATGAAGAGTTGCGACACAGCAGATGGCCAAGAAGCCCAGGCATGTGAATGCAGAATTTTCCTAGTGTCTTGTAACATGCACCCCATTTTCAGTCTTTTCCCTCTAAGAATCTGGAGCTTGCAAGTCCCAGACCTTTGATGTTTATGAGGGAATAGCTGGCTACCTTTTCATCAGTTCTCTGCTCTGCAGCACTCATATTCTAGTTTCATCTTCTTTCTGTCTTACCACTCCTTTCTCTCTTCCAAAAATACATTAAAATATTATGTCCATCAGTTTTCTCCTCTCATAGTCTCCATGTTTTGTGTGGATTACTTTTATCTCACATTAGTGAAATATAGACAGCTGAGAAGGTAACACATGTAGATGAATTGTCACAGTTGACTGAAATCTGATTAGATGTTTTTTTTTAATTTTATTTGCTTATTTTCAGATCATTATTTTAAAAAGCTGCCCAGATGATCCAGGCTTCAGGCTTAAAGTAGTGTTTGGGAATTATTGAACCATATAGTCTCTCACAGTCCCTGTTAGCACTAAGAGTTTATTGTTCCAAGTATTCCATGTTCATCTTGAAAGAGGTGATTCCTCTCTGACCTAGCTTATTTATTTTGTTTTTTTTAATTGACATTTTTAGTCTCCACATACAGCAAGGTCATGTGACATGTCTTCCTATTCCTGGTTTACTTAACACAGTGATCGCCGCTTCCACCCACGTTGTCATAAATTACAGGATATCTTTCTTTCTAAGCCTGTATAGTATTCCATTGTGTGTATTTATATACCATTTTTTCTTTATCCATTGTTGAGTGTTTCCATTTCTTGGCTATTGCCAGTAGTGCCACAGTGAATATGGGAGAAAAGATCTCTCTACACACTGATTTCCCACTACCTGGTAGTGATATTGCTGCATAAAGTGATAGTTCTGTTTTTAATATTTTTAGGACCCTTTATACTAGTTTCCATAATGACTGTACTTGAAAGTTGATCTCACAGAAGGTGAGAGTAGAATGTTGGTTACCAGAAGCTGGGGAGAATAGGGTTTGGGGAGTGGTGGGGAAAGCTTGATCAATAAATACTAAATTACACTTAGGAACAAAAAGTTCTGATGTGCTACCGGACAGCAGCATGACTGTGGATAGCAGTAATATAATGTATATTTTGAAAAGCTACAAGAAATGATTTTAATGTTTTTACCACAAAGAAATGATAAGTGTTTGAGGGGATAGATATTTTTTTCTTAATTTGTTCTAATTAGTTATGCCTGACAGTAGAATTCATTTTGACACATTATACATAAATGGAGTATAACTTCTCATTCTTCTTGTTGTACATGGTGTAAAGTTACACCAGTAGGGCAATCATATATGCACATAGAATAATTATGGCTGATTCATTCTATCTATTCCTAAACCCATACCCCCTCCATTCCCTTCACTCTCCTCTGTCTAATCCAAATAAAAAAGGTACTTTATTCCTAGCCACCTCCCTTATTATGAATTATCATCTGCATATCAGAGAAAACATTCAGCCTTTGGTTCTTTGGGATTGGCTTATTTCAGGGTGGTATGGCCGTAGACTCATTTCAATCAGCATGATATTCTCTGGTTTCATCCATTTTCTGGCAAGTGCCATAATTTCATTCTTCTGTAAGGCTGAGAAATATTCCATTGTGTATATATACCACAGTTTCTTAATCCATTCGTCTATTGAAGGGCACCCAAGTTGGTTCCATAGTTTGGCTATTGTAAGGTAAACTGCTATAAACATTGATGTGGCTGCATCACTGTAGTATGCCGATTTGAAGTCCTTTGGGGATAAAATGAGGAGTGGGATAAGTGGGTCAAATGGTGGTTCCATTCCAAGTTTTATATGAGTGTACAAAACAGTGTATAAGTGTACTTCCCTGCCCCCATCCTCACCAACATTTACTGTTGCTAATGTTCTTGATGATTGCCATTCTAACGGGAGTGAGATGGAGTCTCAGTGTAAAATTTTTATTTGCATTTCTCTAATTGCTAGAGATGATGAACTTTTTTATATATTTGTTGATCAGTTGTATTTCTTCTTCTGTGAAGTGTCTTTCAGTTCCTTAGCCCTTTTATTAATTGGGTTATTTGTTTTGAGGGTATTTAGTTTTTTGAGTTCTTTTTATATCCTGGAGATAAGTGCTTTCTCTGAGGTGCATGTGGTAAAGATTTTTACCATTCTGTATGCTCTATCTTCACATTATTGATTGTTTCATGAAGAATCTTTTTAGTTTAAATCCATCCTATTTATTGATTCTTGATTTAACTTCTTGTGCTTTAGGAGACTTTTTAAGGAAGTCAGTTCCTAAGTCATGGTGATAGAGATTTGGGCCTACTTTTTCTTCTATTAGGTGCAAGGTCTCTGTTCTAGTGCCTAAATCCTTGATCCACTTTGAGTTGATTTTTGTGCAGGGTGAGAGATAGGGATTTAATTTCACTTTGCTACATATAGATTTCTAGTTTTCCCAGCAGCATTTGTCAAAGAGGCTATCTTTTCTCCAATGTATGTTTTTGGTGCCTTTGTCTAGTATGAGATAACTTTATTTATGTGGGTTTTTTTTACTATCTTCTATTCTGTACTATTGGTCTACATGTCTATGTTGGTGTCAATACCATGCCGTTTCTGTTGTTATGGATCTTTAGTAAAATTTAAGTCTTATTGTGATGCCTCCTGCTTCACTTTTCTTGTTAAGAATTGCTTTGGCTATTCTGGGTCTCTTATTTTTCCAGATGAATTTCATGATTGGAGATAGATATGTTTAACCTGTTTTGAGCATTATATAACATACATATTGAAACATCACATGGAACTCATTAATAGGTATAATTTTTATGTTTTTACATATCAGTTAAAATAAATTTTAATTTTTTAAAAAGTTGACATTTTATTGATGTGTAAAATATGTACAGAGAAATAAAACCAATTCCAAGTGTACTAGTGAGTAAACTGTCACTCAAAGCCACATCCATGAAACAATAGCTCAGACCAGGAAATGATATTTATTTACCAGCACTCCAGGAGTCCCCTGGAGACCCTTTCCTATCACTAGCCCATTTCTCTTCCCCAGGATTAACCTCTTTCCTGACTGCTAAGCCCTTGAATTCATTTCTCCTTTGTTGAGACTTTATGTAAACTATCCCTTTATTTCTGATGGGCTCAGTATTATTTTAGTTACTACTCTTTCCCCTTTTGCCCCCGTCTTATTTATCTATAGGTTCTCCCCATTCCAAGTCAAATTGGTAGTGATTCTTTCCTTCCCAAGATACATATAACACCAGCCATTGAACAACTAGCCTATGTTTTCTTTATGCCCATTTATGTTCGTGTACACCATCCCTCTTGGCTCTATGAGTCTGCCTCACCTAAGGAGGAAATTGGCATGAGAAACCTCAGGTCCTCTGGAGTGTATACTTAAACTTTTTTCTTAGCTCCACCTTCCAGTAATGTGATTTTCCAAATTCTTGGTGACAAAGAGGGGCAGGACATTTGGCTATTCTTGTCATTGCAGGTAGCACCTCATGCCCTGCAGGTGCACATGGAGCAGTTGGTGGCAGTGGACCTGCAGTGCTGGGAGGAGAGGAACATCCTGGCAGCTGGGTGACAGTATCTTCTCTTTTTACAGAGCTTTGCCCTCTGAATGCCAGATGCTTCTGTTCTCTGCAACATTTGAGGACTCTGTGTGGCAGTTTGCCGAGCGAATCATTCCTGACCCTAATGTTATCAAGTTGCGCAAAGAAGAGCTGACCCTGAACAACATCCGACAATATTATGTGTTGTGTGAGGACAGGAAAGACAAATATCAAGCTCTGTGTAACATTTATGGTGGCATCACCATTGGCCAGGCCATCATCTTCTGCCAGGTAAACTTGCTGGATGTGTCTTCATTGTGCCCTCATTTCCCTACAGGTAGAGGTAGGGGGTGGTAATATTAATAGGTGCCAGGTAGACAGGCACTGTGTTCAACACTTATTATGCGTTATCTAGTTGAGTCTTCAAGGCAGTTCTGAATAGAAATGATTTGTATTTTAGGGTGAAGCTTAGAAAGGTTAAGGTATGGAACAGGATCTTCAATATGATGCTAAATGAAGGTTTTTCATATTTTAACTTTTCCCCATTTAGATTGGTGTTTATTGTAGTTTTTATAGATACCCCTTATCAGGTTAAGGATGTTGCTTATGAATTTTGACTTTTTTATTTTCGTGTTTATTTTTTGCTATCTGACTTTTTCACACTTGTGTTTTCTTTTCTCACTACCAGTTAAACACACTAAGGCTTCATGAGAGTAAGGTTTCATCTATCTCATTCATGTCCATATTCACTGTACTGGACTGGCACCTGCCAGTGGACAGCACTGAAAACATAGAATAGAAGAAAGCTCAGCTGTGCCACAGCCTGGCCATATAACCTTGGACAAGTTACCTAACATTTTTAAGCATTGGTTTTTTTTGTTCACTTTCAAATTTGTTGGATGAAGTTAGGTCACTACTTCATGAAAGTGTTGTATAAACACATGCCCATAATGTATATAAAGATATTAACCAGGTTCCTGGCACATATAAAGCGCTTTCAGAGTGTCCATTGTTCATAATAAATGAAAACATTATAATGTAATACATTATATCCTTTTGTCATCATAGCACCATATGAGGTAGGTGTTTGTCTTTGTTTGTCTTTGTTTCGTGGATTTAAGGAAGTGATGTTTAGAAACCCAGGTGGTAGGAGAATCCCATGCCACATTCTAAGAGTCCTTGAGGTTTGAGAGAGCCGTGAAGCACAGTTCCTCTGCAGCCCTCTCCCTCCTGCCCTCCCACCCCCTACCCTGATCCAGGAGCATCAAGCATCACAGGCACAGCCAGTCTGCTGTAACCAGGGGTGCTGTGGTGGGTTTTGTTTTTTATATAGACGCGTCGAAACGCCAAGTGGTTGACCGTGGAGATGATGCAGGACGGCCACCAGGTGTCCTTGTTAAGTGGGGAGCTGACAGTGGAACAGAGAGCTTCCATCATTCAGAGGTTTCGGGATGGGAAAGAGAAGGTTCTTATAACGACCAATGTTTGTGCTCGAGGTGTGTGTGTGTGTGTGTGTGTATGTGTGTGTGTTTGAACCCTATACTGCCAAAAAAACCCCACAGGTGTTGAGGTATAAGTTACACAAGATAGCAATTCAAATCTTTAAGTGTACAGGAATACACTTGAGTTTTAACAAGCATACAGTTATGTGTCCGTGCCCATCACTATGATCAAAATATAGAAAATTGGCCAGGCACAGTGGCACATGCCTGTAATCCCAGTGCCTCTGGGGGCTGAGATAGGAAGATCAAGAGTTCAAAACCAGCCTCAGCAAAAGCAAGGTGCTCTATTCTGTGGTGTCCAGTTGATAGACAGGGTGAGACCCTGTCTCTAAAATTAAAATATAAAATAGGGCTGTGGATGTGGCTCAGTGGTCTAGTGCCCCTGAGTTCAATCTCTGGTGCCAAAAAAAAAAAAAATCAGAAAAGTATCTCCCCACAATTTCCTCATGCTCTTTTGTAGTCAGTCTCCTCTTCCTGTCACATGGCCTCTAGCAACTACTGATTAGATTTCTCTCTTCATATTTTTGTGTCTTCTAAAATGCCACATAAATTAAGCTGTACAGTGTATGGCCTTTGTGTCTTTCTTCCACCTAGCATAATGCTTTTGAGTTGACTCATTGTTGTTCCATGTATCAATAATCCCTTCCTTTTTATTGCTACTAATAGTCCTTTGGTAGTTCATTCACTCACCAGTTGGATATTTGGATTATTTCCAATTTGGGGCTTTTTTTAAATACAGCTATAGTAAAAAGTTATGTGTAGGTCTTTGTGTAGATGTTATGTTTTGATTTGGGTAAATATCTAGGAGAAGGATTGCTGGGTCATATGATAAGTGTATGGTTAGTTTTGTAAGAAACAGCAAAGTTTTCCCACAGTGACTGTACCATTCTCACCAGGAGATAGCAGAGTCATACTTGTTCTGCATCCTTGCCAGCAACTGATATTGTCACTTTTTCTGATTTTAACCATCTTATAAGATATGTTGTAGTATCTCATTGTGGTTTTAATTTGCATTTCCCTAATAACTAATAATGTTGAGCATATCTGGAGTGTTTATAGGTTTAAAGCTATTGACTACTGAGGGAAAAAATCTTTGTTTTTGTAAGAGAAAGACTCTTCCACTTTCTTCATCCTTCACATATCTATAAACTCCAATTTAATTCATGTTTCCTAGTTCATTTTGAGTTCAGCAAATAGAATTAAAAGCCTTCTGCTGGGTTAGGAGTGAGGCCTGAGCTCTTCCCTGTAGAAGTACTTAAAAAGAACAAAGTCCCTGCCCCTCAGAAGTTCACCAATTAGGCTCTCACCTCTCTAAACTAGCACCTTCTAGTAGAACTTTCTGCAGTTATGGAAGTGCTCTATTCTGTGCTGTCCAGTTGGTAGTCATTAGCCATGTATGGTTCTGAAGCACTTGAAATGTGGCCAGTCTGACCAAGGAACTAAATTTTTAATTTTAATTTATTGCAATTTAATTAGCCACTGTAGCTAATGGTTACCATATTGGATAGCACAACTCCAGACCTTAGAAGAAAAGAGGCACAGAAAATCCAGGATGAAGACTGAGGGCAAGGAGGACTAGGGTCATGACCCAGACAGCTTTTTAATGTGGGCAGTGGAAAGCACAGGGATCAGAGGTCTTTCTGGGCTATGTTAGAGCTGAAAGGTTTTTTGAAGGAAGGGTAGCAATTCAGTTGAATGAGAATTTATCCATTGGGAAATGGCAAACCCTCGTGACTAGTGCTTTGCATCGTGAGACTGGAGAGAAGGAGATGATACTTCAGCTACTGTGAAGTCTTGGATGGCTCAAACTTTACCCTGTATGATTTGGGTAGTAGGCTCTGAGCACAAGCGCTCTGAACCTTGCTGTGGGACTGTCGAAGGAGAGATTAGGTAGGCGAAAACCAGTCTAGAAAATGTCCTAGCAGTTGAGGCAAGGGATGAAAAAGATCTGAGGAGAGCCACAGTCATGGAATGGAGCAGAGCAGAAGCCTGGTGATAAGTAAATGGGTAGAGGATAAGAGGCCTGCTGGGGACTAAAGTATAGCAGAGGCAGAAAGGAGCAGGTAGCTCTGTGGACTCTAGGCACCTCTCCCCTACCCCCACACATTCGAGTGCACATGCTTTGTACATATTTAGACTTCTGTAGAATTAGCCTCTCCTGACTGACTAATTATCCAGCATCATAGACATAACAGCATGCAAGCAAACTGCCTGGACCAAAGTACCTGTTTCAGTGATGTAAAGCCAGGTTTGATTATCTTCTTCATTATTGAAAATTCCTTCAGCAAATGTGGTTCTTAAGTGGCTATGTCCTGAGGAAAATACTGCAAGACCCTACAGTGTTCTTCCTCTCCTAGGGATTGATGTGAAGCAGGTCACAATTGTTGTGAACTTTGATCTCCCTGTAAACCAAGCCAAAGAGCCAGATTATGAGACCTACCTCCATCGCATAGGGCGAACAGGACGCTTTGGGAAAAAAGGCCTGGCTTTCAACATGATTGAAGTGGACAAGCTGCCCCTGCTCATGAAAATTCAGGACCACTTTAGTAAGTAGCATTGCTTTCACAGTAGGAGCCAGGGAGCTGCTTACACTGACGGGGGCGAGGTGTACCAGGGGATCCCAAGGTCAAAGGCTTAGGATGGCATGGAGGCAGAAACCATGAGGTGGAAGGCTTCTGTTCATAAGACCAGAGTCCTCATAATATGAGACAGTTGATTAAATAATTCTTACATTGTAGTTAGAGAAAATTTTAAAAATTAAGCAGAATTTATATGAACTCATTCTGGTATCTGGAGCAGATTTTCATATCCTATAAATATGTACCCTAAGCAAAATCTTAAAATCTTTTAAGATTATATTCTACCACCAGATTCCTCTTTCATTCACATTTTTCTCCTACTCTTGCCACACCCATAGAATTTAGGAATGGTCCTAATTTCTGAGGCCTGCAGCCTTTCCCTTAACCCCACCCTCTAAACAAGGCAGGTTCTGCTAGCCTGCTGGGGCTCTGAACTGACAGATGCACTAATGGAATCCTGAAGTCACCTTACCTGGCAATCTACTCCTCAGATCACCCCATTCCCCTAAGTGTGTATATGTGTCTGGGCAGTAGAGCAAGAGGAACATCAAATGCTACTCTCTAGGATGATGATACTACCTTACTTAACCTTTGTTGAAAGCAGTGGGCACTCTCCCAAGAAATGTACATGGACACACATATAGCATGTAGAATATGATGTATATAGTTTTTCAAGGTTTGCACACTGAATGTTGTATGTACATTCACTGAGCCTTTAGGAAAATAGATTATATACCTCTGTGTTAGGCTGACTGGGAAGGGGCAGAGGAGAAAGTACCTTGGCCCTGTCCCTGTAGTGAGCATCTAAGGATCTAGTCTTAGGAAGTTACCAGTTGGAAGAGCCTTGGTCCTTCCCAGGCTCTTTTCACTGCCCTATGGCATCTGAATGTGTGTGTTCTAGGTGCATTTGCTACCGTTTCAGTTAATGTTGGTCAGTTTTTTGCTACCACCCTTCTTTGTGTTCCTGTTTCAAGACTTCCTATGCAAGGTGTCACAGGAACTTAGATTTTCAAAGGCATCACTTTCTTGAGAAACTCAGAGTTGGCTGAAATGAGTTTTTGTTTATGCCCCGGAGTAAGACTGTTTTTTTTTTCTCCTTTGTTCTTTTTAGACAGCAGTATTAAGCAGCTTGACCCTGAAGACATGGATGAGATTGAAAAGATTGAATATTGAAGAAAGAACTCTATTGTTTGTGAGAGATAGTAGTTTATGTGAGAATGTTCCAGTGAGTTTTGAAGGTAGTTTTTTTTTCTTTTTTTTTTTTTAAATGTTCAGTCTATTTCAATGTGAAACTGTTCACAGATGGCAAAATAAATGACTTGGTACCCTTAGTTGAAGACCTGAGGAATTTTTGAAATCAAATTGATGTGAAGCACATGATTCTTTTGAATAAAAAAAAAGCAAGATTCTTTCTTATTCTAATCTCTTTATAGGTAAACATCTCTGATGGGCTTCTGGGATATTTCTGGATTTAGTTCATATAAACTAAGCAGATCATGCCTCTTGCCAGCCAGTGCCACAAGATGGCAGTAGTACTTCGCTGGGTTTTGGAAGTTGAGCTGATGGGACAAATGGAAAAGACAGGTCTCACTCACAGGCAGCCCTTTCCACCCATTAATGTCCCTCCCCTCTCCTCCCTTCACCTTCTTCTGTGTGCACACATTCAGAGGCCAAAAAAAAAAAAAAAGAGTAAAACTCTTAAAAAGTGAAATATTTGGAAGAAAGAACATTTTGCTTTTTAATATTTCAAGTGACATCCAGAATTTCAGAATATTTTTCTATTTTGCTTTTTACTGTCTTCAAATTAGAGAAAATTTGCTCAATCGTCAGTTACTTAATAGTATGAAAATGTGGCATTACTCTAGGCATTTCTTAAAAACAGGCAGTGGGGGTTTTAAAAAAAAAAAAAAAGGAAAGAAAGAAAAAGCTCATGTGCCTTCCTAAAGAAGTAACATTCAGGTAGCCTTAATGGTATATGTGTGAATCTTGGTCATTTTCCTGAAAGCCCTTTTGAGATGATTTCTCTCTCACATTTCCTGCTCAAAAGTGAAGCCCTGAGGTTGAGAACAAGGGATGAATGGCTGGTCTCCCACAAAGCTTGAGCAGTTCATGAAGCCTGCAGCCTAGGCACCAGTTCTGTCATAGCCTCAGGCTGCCAAAAGTGGCTCTTATGAGTGCCTTTGTCATCCAGGTGTGGATGATTATTTCAACTTGTAGAGTTGCTCAGTGTTTTATCCCCAGTTCAGGACTCAGAAGTACATGAAAATCAATAGGCTCCCTCATTCAATATCAGATATTTATTGTGCACCATAAACCCCAATAAAAGGGAAATGAATAGAATACAAAGACATCTCAGAATTCAGAGTCTAAAGGCAAAGACTCGGAAGAAGCCAACATTAGAATAGACTGTGATAAAGGAAAGGTGTACAGGTCCCTAGTGTTGCACAGAGGAGAGGCCTCTTATACTATCTGGGCCACCTTCCAAAGGAGTAGACACTCAGGGTTCCTATAGGAGGGCAGGATATATTCAACAGTGCTTGTCCAATGTGCATGTAATATCACGTAGCAGTTTCCTAACCTGGGCCCACTGAGGCAGTGTTCCAGACCCAGTTCATCATCTCTATTGCCTGGAGACCCTGAAAGAAAACTAAAGATTCCTTCCCCTTTACAGACAAAGCTGAGAATAGAGCCCCAAAAGACATATTCGGGGGCTGGGGATGTGGCTCAAGCGGTAGCGCGCTCACCTGGCATGCGTGCGGCCCGGGTTCGATCCTCAGCACCACATACCAACAAAGATGTTGTGTCCGCCGAGAACTAAAAAATAAATATTAAAAAATTCTCTCTCTCTCTCCTCTGTCACTCTCTCTTTAAAAAAAAAAAAAAAGACATATTCGGGCAAGAAGAGCTGAAAGGATAGGCAGAGTAATGGGTAGTGAAGACCACTGGCTTAGGGAGGAGACTCTGCAACAAAGAGAGGTCCTTAGAGATAGAATTTATAAAAGGTGAAGCTCCCACTTGGGAATGTCCACTCCAGTTCTCCATATACTGCCATACCTCCCTCTCTAGGCTGGAAACTGTGGTCAGTTTCATTGTCCACTCTATATCCAGGCCTTGACACAGAGCCCAGCACTCAGTAGGCACTCATCAAGTAAATATTTTCCTTTTTTTTTTTTTTTGCCTTGATGTTTTCATTCATTAACATTTTTCCTTAATGTTTTCCATCCTAATTTTGAACTCCAATAATATGACACAGGGTAGGTAAGCACAGGAAACACTCTTACTATTTGAGAATTGAGTTTGACTTTCCATCATACTCAGCCCAGCCTTGGCATATCTTAAATAAAATGTGATCACCTCCCTTTCTAGTACTGACTTCTGGTAAAATTTCTACCAGTTACCCTCATGAGTGCCTACACCAATCTCCATTTAGCAACTGTTCCCACAGGGTCTGCAAACACTAGGCATTCTTCTGTCTTCCCCTTTGCCCCTCTCTTCATGTCCCTTTGTCTCGCCACCTAGGAGGCGGCAGAGCCATCCTGTTTTCTGCTGAGGTCACAGCTGTATTAACACTAGCTATCCAGATTGGTGAGTCAACAATTCAAAGGCCCTTTAGCAGGGTGCAGCTCCTTGTTCAGAACTGTAAGCAATTTTCACTTCTGCACATCTGGCCTGGCCAAGGTCTCTCTTCTCCAGTAAATGGAGAAGCAAGGAATACCAGATGACTTCAGTGCATCTGTGAACTGGCGTAATCAGCTGTGTGTTATTTGGCACCAAATACTAAACCAAATCCATTGGGTTTATCTTGGCCAGCTTAATACTGTGAACATATTGAAATTCATGATTACGTGGAGCAGGGTTGTGATTTGCAGTGGGAATTGTGAGTGATCACCTAGCATGGAGCATGGCTGCTGTGATGTTAGGTGCTGGATCTAAGACAGCTGTTAACAGGAAAGGCAAATGAGCTGGTCATCGTCTGGTAGGACGTCTGACAGCTCCTTCTCAAGAGACATTATTGTGTTTGGAGAAAGTGTTGATCCTCCTCAGCAGAGCTCAGTCACCATGAAAGCCACTAGCAGTCTCTGCACAGATGATCAACAGTGGAAAATCTTAGGGGATTTCTGGGGTAGGTGGGGACAGGACCATGAGCAGCATCTTTGCAGATACCAGAGAAAGAAGCTGGTCATGTCAAGCCTTCATTTGGCTCTTGGTTCTCTTGATTCAAGTAGGAGACTAGAACATACAAAAGGCCTAAGCAGAGACAACCCAGCTGCTGGGATGGAAAAGGAAATGTGAATCCAGCCCAGGGTCCTCTCTGGCCAAGCCTGCACTTTTTGCCCCCTGAGCCAGGAGGCCAGCCTTCTGTTCTTGCTTGCTTTGCCCTGTCACGTCTCGCCATGCACACTGATTCTCTCAGGATGACCTTCAGGAACCCAGCAATTGGGCACCCACTAGTTTTACCAAAGGAGTAACAGAAGAGTCAGATTCCCTTCAGTCTTAACCCCCTCTCTCTAACTCTCAACCCTTTCTGGGAAATAATCAAGTACATCAAAGACCTTCATAAATCATTTTAACCCACAGACTTGTGAAATATCACAATCATGCAGTAAGCTTCAGCGGATACCAACTAACTTTCTACTCTAAAAAGAATTCAAAAGGCATTCACTTCAACATTCACTTCTGTATCTTTTAAATCCATGACTGAGAAAAGAATTGGACACAGCCACTTCTCCTTTCACTGACTCCCACCTTCTCCCAATTCTGCCTCCTCTCACCTCCCCAGGCTGATTTTACCTTTTTACTTGCCCCCCGGGGTCAGGCACCCAGGAGGGCCATTCTCTGGCTGTCTCACACTGGCTTCCTCCTATCTCTCAGTGTTGCCTGGTACCTGCTCAACAAAATGCTCTTTGGCCAATTCTCTCTAGATACTTTCTTCTGGTTTCCTTTATTGCTTTGCAAATTGTGACTTTAAAATGTGGATGGGATCAAAGCATTTTCCATTTTTAATATGGATTTTTTACTCCCCTTGAAACTCAAAATTTTAGACTCTTCCAGTGGTTTACAGGAAATAAACCTGCAGTGTTACTAAAGAAGTAACAGTGTTGTCTGGACAATCCACAGAGGGTCCCAGTGGCCTGTGTCTGGAACTGCTCAGTCCTTCACAAGCTTATAAGCCTTCCACTTCTGCCCAGGTTAGAAACAACCAGAAGTTCTCATGTGATACAAAACATGAGCTCCGAAGAAAGGCTTTCCCTTCTTGTATTCAGGAGAACTGAAAGAATTTTAATGAAAATTGAGCCTGTGGAAAGAAATAGAGCAACTCTCTGTAGCACTTTTCTTAGGGAATTCATCTTTGCCCTTAATTTTCTTTCTAACCAGTTTCTGCATTGAAGTTTCTAGAATATATTTTTCCATGAATGGGGATGGTCTCCTGTTTTGAGTTTAATATTTTTCTACTGCTAGAAAGAATGATATGGTCTCACTCCAGTCCCTTGGTTTGTGATTTATGTCTTGAAATCCCAGCTGGAAAGAGGTGATTGACATGAAAGCCCTGCTTTGTGTAAAGTTCAGAAGCACGTCATGTATGGACTGAACAGGCACCTTTATGAGGTGGTGAGCTTCCTCCCATCCATGAGAGTATTCAGGCAGTCAGAAGGCAAACAGTTACTTGTAATGGGTGTTGTACTTATGGTTCTTGAATTACCAGGCGTTTAGAATAAAATGATCTCTGAAACTGCTCATTCTAATATACCATGTTTCCATGACCCCTCACAGAATAGCTCCACACATGTAAGCCATAGAAACTTAGTACAGAAGATTATTTCTCACAGATGAAAGGTAAATGGGATGATTAACTTCTAATGGCACCTTGAGTTAACATTTAGATTCACTGGCTTCTTCTCCATGTGATCATTTCTTTATTCTGAACTTCATCAGCTTATGCAGAATATAGATTATTTTCAATAATATTTATATTACAAAGCAATAAAATAACAAACAAAAGTAGCAGCAAAGTTATCCAATATCTCATTGCTTGATTATTTTAAATATTGCCTTTATATAGTCCTTTTCATCTTAATATTAATAACTTCATCTTTTTTTATTATATCACTTTACTTGAAACATTCAAGTGTACTTTTTCCTTCATGTTGCTGCATCATCTTTAGGATTATTATTTTTAAAATAATAATTGACCAGATTTTCTGGTGAATATGCATATAACTATCTTTGTTCAACAATTATATGATGACCAGTTTTCTAGCATTATACTTATAACTAATGACTGTAATGAATATCTTCCTGCTCAATATTTTGAATTATTTCTTAGGATTAGAGATGTTAAGTTTGAGTGCCAGGTTAAAAAAAAAATAAGAGCATTGTTATGGCTTTTGATAGTATCAAACTGCTTCCAGAGACTG